TGTAGGAGTTATGTTGTGTACATCCGTTAATTGAAATAGATAAGGAGTAGCATGTATTGATGCACTGGAATCGAGTAAATCCATTGTTTGCATATAGGATTTCTCGTTAGCTATGATTGTATTTGTAAATACATTGGTACATACCTAGGAAGTGTATTGTTCAAATTGTTTGTCCTGGTTGCTTGGAATAAGAGCATAGACATTATTGTTCATTTTAATGTTGCTTTCCTTTAATTCAACATTGTTTTCGTTTGGGTTTTCAATAATAAATGTGTTCGTTGTGTTTTCCACAGTTTGATTTGTTTTATGCACAATGTTAGCCTGATGTTTGGTGCATGCAAGCTTCGTAGCTTCAGTAGGAGGTTTGTGGCATTCCTTAGAGAAATGTCCTGTTTTTCCACAATTGAAACATTTTGCTTTTGTTGGATTGAACAGATTTGGCAGATTGAATTTCCTCCACTTATTGGCTTTATACATTGTATTAATGCATGCATTATTCTTTGTCCAATCATTAGAATCTTGTGCTTGTTTAGCACAGTAATCATTGTAGGCATTCTGCAATACAAGGATTAGTTGCTTCAGTTCGACTTTCTTATGTTCATTGACTGGTTTGCCTTCGTTTTGGGCATCAGTAGATTGTATTATTGTATTTACTATGTGTGTATATTGTTCAGGAGTGGCAAGCAATATTGCTGCTTTGTATATAGAGTTGTGTGGTGGATCACTGTTAGCAGACAGAGTTGTGTATGCTTCCTCAAGTCTGTCTAATGTATGTCCGAAATGTTTTACATGGTCTCTACAAATAAACAGTGCCGATTTGTTGATGGCCTTTTTATGTACTGTCTGGGGGTTAAAGCATTCTTCAAGCACTTTCATTAACTGAGGGATAGACGTATCAAAGTGCATATAGTTTGCCAATATTGTGTCGGCGATGTTATTAACTATGCATGCATGAATGGCCTTAGCCATCTCCCTCTCAGCTTTGTTCTGTGGTTCATCCTTTAGTAAGTGTTCGAAGCACATAGCTGTGACACTAGAAACAATGCAGTAGTGCCACATCTTGTAGTTCGCTTCAGTCTTAAGCATTGTGATGTTTTGACCAAAGTATTTGGGTACATTGGCTGGTTTACAGTGTGTATCCGTCCGTGGGGGAACCATGATGCGAATGTGTGCAAATGTATGTGAGTAAAGAGTTTAGAGTGTACAGTGGATGCGTGTATGCAGGGAGCTCAAGGCTCATAACCTGTTGAGAGGGAGAACTTAAGGGGGGCACGCATAGACAAGGGGTGAGGTGACGATTGACTGCTCAGTGTCTCTCGTCCTTATATTGTATGTATTCTAACTGAGACATTATGAAGTCATCGTCTCGTGGTTCGTCCGTTGATGAACTAATCATCTCATAATAGCACGTTTTGGTGATGTGCGACGCGATGGTTCTGTCACTGTGGTCTGAAGTGATGACGAGGAGCACGTGGGTTCCTATTCTCCAAAATAGGTATTACTTTGTAATCAAGCGGTGCCGAATTCTCCTAACCTGCCGTCGCCCCTTGTTCCATCTAATACCATGTCTCCCAACACGACTTCTCACCTCACTCAAGACTCTCCTTCAAATGCCTTACAGCATCCGCATCAAGGGCAGGCCCAATCTCCGGCTCAAGGACAATACCAGGACTGCCTCTCATGCAAGGTCATCGGAACTGGTGCCTTAGCAAGTGTGGGCCTCTACGCACTCAACCAATCACGTCCTCATCAACCCGGCTCACCTTTTGCGAGGCGAGTTACGGCGGGCGTTGGGGTGTGTTTCTTGGGTATGAGTTGGATCAGATGGTAAGCAAGTCTTTTTTTCCTTATGCTTCTTGGTTTATAAGTCTCACGATGTGCCTGTAGGAACAATTTTAGACTCGGAGGATTTCAATTCGGTAACAAGAGCCAGAGTAGCATAGTGAACTCATAACCAGCGCACATTCTCTCACAAATAGGTAAATTCGTGTGCATAACAATTTTTTTTCTTTATGCTAATACAAGTTGTTGTACAAATTATTTTCAAAGTTCTCACAAATTCGAGAATTTCGGCTTCCTCTTTTCCACGAACGCACTCATACCCTCCTTCTGATCCTTCGTCGCAAACAATGCATGGAAAGCCCTCCTCTCGAACACCAATCCTTCTCGCACACCCAACTCACTAGCCTTCCTTACACACTCCTTCGCAGCCCTCACTGCAATTGCACCCTTCTGCGAAATCGCACTGGCAACTTCAACAGCCTCATCAACGACGTTTTTACCCTCTGGAACAATTCGTGTGACAAGTCCCCATTTTTCTGCTTCGGATGCATCGATTTTGCGACCGGTGAGGATGATCTCCATTGCGCGTGATTGGCCGATGAGACGCGTAAGTCGTTGGGTACCGCCTGCGCCGGGGATGATCCCGAGGTCGATCTCAGGTTGGCCGAAGACAGCAGTGGGTGAGGCGAGGATGATGTCGCACATCATCGCGAGTTCGCATCCGCCACCGAGCTAATTAGGAGTATCAATTTGGTTAAGATGTGGATGATGGACTAATGTGGAGAGGGAGGACGTACGGCGTAACCGCTGACTGCGGCTATCGTCGGTTTGCGCAGATCTGCGAGGCGATGCCAATTTGCAAGGAAATCATCTCTGCTCACGTCATGGTCTGTATACAAATAGCACAAACAATCCCATTAGCAGCTTACTCATAAAATAGAAAATACGAGATAAAATTAAAATTAAATATAATAAATTACGAACATTCCCGGTCCTTCATTTCTTTAATGTCCGCACCAGCCGCGAATGCCCTTTCGCTCCCGGTAATTACGACAGCTTTTACACTATCATCTTGCTCAATACTTTCCAGCGCGTTGTTGAGCTCCGAGATGAGCGCGCCGTTGAGTGCGTTGAGAGCCTTGGGTCGGTTGAGTGTGATGAGTGCAACGCCCTCAGAAGGCGAGCTTGGGATGATATTTGTAAAGGGATTTGATGAAGTCTGAGTGGCCCAAGACGAGGACGATGAAGAAGACATTGGACGAAGTTGTAGACCGCGAGATATGCTCGTGGGACAGGTACGAGACAAAGCAGACAAACTTGCACGTATAACCGGTGCACAATGAGACGGCAGACGACGAGATGAGGAAGCGAGAGTCCTAGAGACAAGAGTGCGCGTTGCAGACATGAGCAAGGGTTTAAAGTAGACGAGCATAGGAGGTCTGTAAGCTTGCAGGGTCGGAGCAAACAGACAAGTTGCTCACGTGCTGACATTCTCATATTATTCACGTGCAACTCGAAACTGGTTAAAATTGACAATCTCAGGGTTCGTCTATGCCTTTTCATTATCTTTCCACGGATCTTTATTCAGGCTTTGCAGTAGCAGGACTTCTTAAAGGACTTCACATATTCTTCATTTTTAATGAACGATTAATCATATATTCCACTTCATAATACACAGGAGCTTGTTCATTTGCTCCCTCAAAACTTACTCAACTAACAAATCTGTCAAAACAATTGTCCCTTAAATTGAATGCAGGCTGCTCGATCATTGACACGATCTGATGCAAGGCTCTTACTTACAGGAGACAGACAAATAGTTATATAAGAGGGTATACCGATCGAGGAGTCCAATCGAACCAGTAGAGTAAATAAGGCTCGACGAAATTAAACAAGCATAAACATAGTCATATGAACCAATAAATATTGTAAGTAAAATAAGCGGAGAAACAAGACACAGACGATTTTGATCAGAGATTGTGTGTAGGTATAGTAAACAGAATCAACCCTTCAAGCAATATAGGTGTCTTCGCTGTTTGATGTTTGTGCTGGAATGTCTGAAGCAAATTAGCTGAAAGATAAAGACTTAAAGGAGAAGGAAGACATACCACCAGTGAATTCAATATTGCTCACAGAATTTGTTCGATAATTTGTCCCTTCATTTACTCCCAACTCGCCTGCCTCCTTCAGGTTGATCAGAAGGTGGCTCCCGAGAAGACAGAGCAGTGTCGGATTTCCGACTGCACTTATCAGATCTGAAGCAAATAAGCTGATATCTGTAGCCTTGAGCACCACCACTATCTGTAACACGCAGCAAAATATAACGCTGTATTTATCAGTTTGAAGTCCTTTCTGAAAGAGAATTCTTACTTACAAGAAGTAATACAGCAATTGATCTCGGACAATAACCTTAATAAGGTGAGATCCTTTGAATCCGTGTGATATTCTCCAATACTCTGCACTCTTGAAGAGAGTCAAGCATAGTAGAATTGCTCCATATATAAGAGGGACCACCCTACTCCGAATAAAGATTACAAGCCATTAAGAATTATAAATATATTATTCACCATGAGATTACGTCTAATACCCGCGGAAAGTTTTTGTATTGCCCACAAAAGGTGATATTCTCTGTTAAATGTCCAATAAGATCTAAAAGACATCTTCAATCTTCACCACCTTTAAATTAAAATGATGAAATATACTTACAGACTTGTGACAGATTATCAGCAATAAGAATGCCAAAATCAATGCATACTTCTATGGCAAGGAGAACCTTGAGGCAGATTGAGAGCTTCTTGCCTACTAAATAGTCAAACGGAAGCATTTTACAAGCCAAGACGTCTTACTTTGATGGTAAAACGCTAATACGCGAAGTTGAAGAATGTCTATAAATTACAATAAGTGTACAAAAATCGCCTTGGATAAATATTAAATATATGCTTACAGTCTATAAGCACGACTACAATCAAGTCTGCTAGCTGGATTAAACAAGTTATTTCAGTGAATAATATTGGACTACTTACTGCATATACTAGTAGCCCATAGGGACATCCAGCCTGATTATTAAGTTCAAGTTAGTGATAGATGATAAATGCTCGGGTTGTTCAACACACAGCTATTGGTGGCACAGATTGGAATATAGATAGATTTAAGTCAGCACTTGCTCTTAATCATACAGTTTGCTTCTTACATGGAGAGGTTCACTTTGAAAGCATTAACTTAAAAATATACATGTGTTAGCTATGATAAAATTCCACAAATAATGTCAACGTTTACATACAGACGATAAACGAAATCTGTCCAAGGAGTCCAGCACAGCGGTTCTAAACCATCAAGATCAATACAAGAATAGAAGCAATAATATCTACCTATCACTTACCACAAAATAAATCATGCTAACAGGACTGTATGGATTGTGCTTCATAATTGTTATTGTGATATGAGCCTTTGGCACTAATTATAAGGCTCACCCAAAAGTATTTTACCTTAGAATACTCAGTTCAGTGAGTGCTAGAGAGATAAAGTACAATAATCATACCTCCTTGTCCATGGTTAGGACTTTAAGTGTTTCGTTCAGTAGCAGAATACATTCAAATGAGTAGTGTACTTACAAGCATGGTAAACTAAGATAGTCAATAGTGCCACACCGAAGTATTTTTGAGTGGTGATTGCAGAGACAGCTAATGACACCAGACCGGATCGAGCATGGAAAGTGTGGACAACTCCGTCGTCGAGTGTATGGTTCGCCATTGAAAGTGAGAGTGTACGAAAGAATAGATTCAGGACTGCCCTTATAATGTGACGACTGGAAGTGCTGTTATGCCTCAGGTGAGGCATATTATTAGAACATTCTAGCCAAACTGTATTGACGCGAGGTCCGGTATCAGAGCTGATCTTCGTAGCCAGGCATTGTGTATCCAGGAACACTATCTCTCGGATGATAAGAACTTCCATCTAATGATTTATTGCTATACACGGACACGGAAAATCGTCCAGATCACACTCACTAAGAGATCTTCTATACTAACAACTTCTTCGGTACTGAGCTAGAGTATCAACTGGAACATCTGATTTAGTCAAGGCCAGTTACCCTGATGCGTCCTTGTATCCGAGCATGTATACTGTGATATGATTAATTAGCATTTTATGTCGCAAATAGACGACAGAGCTTTATTGGACACCAAGCTCAACGTGTGTTTTTGATTTCCCGTGCGACCTAAATATTGTCTGACCGAGAAAGAACCAAAGCAATACATGAAGACAAGAGAGCAAGATATACGAAGTATGAAACTTGAAACTATTTCTAAATATTTTCACAAAAAAATTAACAAAAATATGAATAAATCTGAAGAACTCCCTCTATGCTCTCTCGTCCGCCTCTCCACCCTTAACAAAATCTGCAATGGCTCTGAGGGTCTCGCTCCTCTCAGGCTCTGCAAAATCAATACACAAATAATCATGGAACGCATCCTTCGCCTCGTAATAGACAACCCTTTCACCCATCCCTCCCTTCATCCGTTTACTCAACTCGCGAATCTGGTCTAGGAGGACTTCTGCGTCGCCAGCAGTGATGAACGTCTTTGGGAACCCGCTATAATCAAGAGAAGATGCCGGGAGTTGTTTAGACGCCGGAGAGATGTAAGCTGTTTGCGACGTGAATTCTTTCCCGAAGGGTGCAATGAATGCTGTGGGAGCGTCGACAGAATACGGTTCACTCGGTGGTTTGAGGTAGTCCGACTTGAGGTTCGTGATTACGGACGACGTTGGCGTATTGTGTGAACCACTCATATCTGTCCAGGGTGATATCAAGATAAGAGCGCCGGGTACATCGGGAAGGCCCTCAACTTTTCCCTTATGCGAGGATAGGTAGAGCGTTAAGGCGTGTGCGAGGTTCCCGCCTGCTGAGTCTCCTGCAACGATCACTTGTTCTGGTTTGTACCCTACTTTATTTATCAAGTAGACATATCCTGCAATTGCGTCGATAAGAGCCGACGGAAACGGTCCTTCAGTCGGTTCGGGTGGGATACTCGACAGCCTATACTCGATCGCAAAACTTCGTTTCACCTCTGGGATGAACTTAAGGAAACCAAGCGGAATAATGGAGGTAGGCGATTTTGGATGCGCAGAGAGTGTGATGTAGGCGCCGCCGTGTAAGAAATACACTACCTTCTCGTCAGGAGAAGGTTTCTGTTCGACAGGGATGGTGAGACCTTTCTTGTGCATCCAGTACCCCGGGAGTTGGACAGACTGAACGTTGGCTTTCTCGGCCCATTCTTTGACTTGGCCTGTGATGAGTTCAGGTACTGCACCAACGTATACACCATTAGCTCCTCTTCCCGTTTCGAGTTTCTTGTGCGTCGGTCGATAGAAGAGACAATCCATTCCGCTATTTTTTAATTAAAAAATTTAAAGATTAAAGATTAAAGATTAAAGATTAAAGATTAAAGATTAAAAAACAATATCAACATTAAAATCGGATTTGATACCAAACCAACTAGTACTTACAATCTTCCCAATCCCTCAAACAAATACCTTATCACATTCACGCCAACACTCTTCCTTATGGTCCAACTCCTTCTCGGTCTCCATGCGGGCAACAGATTGACAAGAATCCAGCACGGTATACGAATAAGAAGCGTCGCGGCGAAGACATACGCGACAATCCGCCGGAAGGGCGTTGGGACATTAGCAACTAGCGACTTTTGCATAACCATCAGGAGAGTACGTGAAAAGAAGGGCTAGGATAGGACGTAAGAGGGGACACAAGGGAGTAGGAGGGATCTAGGCAAGTGTGTGAATCTACGCTGCTGAGTAGGCTTTTATCATGGACGTGTTGATGCAAATCAGCTGAAAGGAGCCAGACGCGCCTATGTCACGCGTCGGAAATCACGCTCCTTTGAAATAACTCAATTTATACATTTGCATTCTCGGACAATGCTAAGATACACGAAAGTTAAACTCAACAAGCTGTGTGACTCACGTGACTGACCTTACATTCCCTTATTGGGTCTCAACGATGACAACGAAACTACTCTTTCATATCATTCAAAATTCAAATTTTGGTCCCACAGAATTGTTTAGAATAAGTGTATCTACAATTCTGTGGAGTGAATTTGTAAAATTTTATGTATTGAAAGTTTTATAATGGATTTAATTTTTTTGACTCAAAATAGCTTAAATCTTCATTTGCAGCCAGTTGGCATTAAATTTTTTTTTTTGAGAAATCCTGGGCAACAATTTTGGCCGCCCTCGGTTATGAACATGTGATGAAAATTACTATATATGGAAAATTAGTAATATTATAAATTGTGCATATTTGCACCATGTCAACTATTCGAATGAGCCCTGGTCCTTCCAAATCACTATGCCACGCCTGTCAAAGAAGAAGAAGAGTTGGGTTAGGAATCTGGGAAGTAGGAGATACACTGTGAGTGAAAAACACTTCATATTTAAATTAATACTTACTAATGTTACCATTCTATAGGTAGAGGTTCTGACTAATGACACGAGAGACGAGGAGAACGAGGTGTCAAGCTCTGAAGACACCCTGCCAGTACAGAGTGTATGGTCCTATGATAGTAATGAAGAAGCAAACCTTGACTCTACAAGCATCTTGGGTGAATCTGGTCAATAATATGTATGATTAGTAAAGAATAAGAGCTATGAGTATTAAAGAAATTCACTCAAAAAAATATTATTACTCTATTATGTTCATGTTGACCTCGAAAATTTGGCCGTCAGGGTCCTTCCTAATACGTTAATCGAGGGGTTCAGGGTTCGTGACCGTGACGTGACATAGCTTGTCGAGTTTAACTTTCGTGTATCTTAGTAAGACAACTGTATCCACAAAAAGAAAAAGGAAAAAGGCGTAAAAAAATTACATATCACTTCCCTAAATTTTGAACCCAGCTGCACATAACTACAATGGTATTACGGCCAGTTTGGAGAAGCGTCGTGTGATCTCTATATTTAGAAGGTGATTGGCTGCTGGCATAACCTTCTTCGGGATATTGTAAAATGCCGCAAACAGCTGCCCGCTCTTACTCCCTACTACAACATTGTCCTCATTGCGCAAGTCATTGTACTACCTTGCATTCGAGAAACAGTTCCCAGTCTCAAGTGGCGACTGTGGTTCGACCGTCTGCTGGAAATCTTAGGGATCAACGTCTTCCGCTCGCACATGTTGGAACAGGAACGAGCAACAGTGAGGAATTCAGAATTTTTCGGCGTCCGAGGATCCTTCGTGTGCCGGGCACAAGTGCGAATACCACTTAAGGTCGTCAGGTAAATCATCTCCACATAGTAAATCCTCTTATCTTTCCTATAAAGTCGTGTTCTGACCGACTATGGAAGTTAAAACAGAGTTATCAAAGTATGGAAGCGAACGCTTTTGCGGCTGAATCTCTTTCAGATAGTTCTCAAAGATATCACGATCTGGCACTTGAGCACTGGAGATGCTACGAGCAATCAGGGAAACAAGTAGAGCTCGACACTTCTATTGCTCACGATCGTTCTACACTTGAACTTCGACCTGACGGTCATCCTTGTCGTTTCGGATCGTTGTGTAACCTTGCGATGTCTCTTCGTACCCGATACAGATTATCGAGTCAAATGGAAGACATAGAAGAATCGATCGAGTTAGACCGATCTGCCTTAAAGCTTTGCCCAAAATTTCATCCTAATCACTCTTCGTCACTTCGTAGCCTTGCCACGTCCTTATGCACTCGATACGAGCAGCTTGGATGGGCTAAGGACGTTGAAGAAGCAATTGATTTGAACCGAGCTGCTCTAGTGTCTTGCCCAGAGGGCTGTCCTGATCGATCTAAGTCCATTGCCAACCTTGCAATTTGTCTGAACTTGCGATACGAGCGGCAAGGACGTGCTGAGGACCTTGCGGAGGCTATCGAGTTGGATCGGGCTGCTCTGGAGCTACGCCCCGAGGGTCACCAGGAGCATTTTTTGTCTATGAACACCCTTGCAAACTCGCTGCACACTCGATTCTCACGGCAGGGAAGGATCAAGGACCTTGAAGAGGCCATTGAGCTGCACCAAGCTGCTGTACAGCTTTGCCCCAAAGGCCATCCAATTTATTCTATGACTCTTAACGACCTCGCATCATCTCTGCGCTCTCGGTACGAGCTGCACGGGAGAGATGATGATCTTGGGCAAGCAGTTGATTTGGACCGAGCGGCTCTCCTGCTTTGCCCAGAAGGCAATCCCAATCGTTCACCCTCTTTACGCAACCTTGCAACGTCACTACGCACTCGATATCAGAGTTACGGAAAGACTGATGACCTTGAAGAGGCCATCGAGTTGCACAGGGCTGCCCTCGACCTCCGCCCAGCAGGCCATCCCGATCGTTCGACCTCTCTCGCCGACCTTGCAATTTGCATAGGAATTCGATACCAGCAGCTTGGAAGGAATGAGGACCTTGAGACCGCCATCGAATTAGAACGAGCTTCCTTAAAGCTTCGCCCCGAGGGTCATCCTCACCGTTCTTCCTCTCTCAGCAATCTTGCAACCTGCACGCACGCTCGATACATATCGTATGGCAGTACTGAAGACCTTGAGGAGGCCATCAAGCTGCAACGAGCTGCATTAGCGCTTCTGCACATAGGCCACCCTCTTCGCTCTACTTTACTCGACAACCTTGCAAATTATCTGTCTGGTCGATATGAACAGCATGGAAGGATTGGCGACCTCGAGGAAGCAATTCAATTGCATAGATCCGCCATGATGCTCCGCCCTGAACATCATTGCGATCGCGCTTCCACTCTCAGCAATCTCGCAAGCTCTCTGATTATTCGATACGAGCGACAAGGAAGGGCCGAGGACCTGGAGGAGGCCATCGAGTTGGATCGAGCTGCCCTCGAGCTTCGACCCGAAGGACACCCTGATCACTCTATGTCTCTCAATAACCTCGCTAGTGCCTTGTACACGCGATATAGGCAGCATGGCAGAACTGAAGATCTTGAGGATGCTATTCAGTTTTACCGAACTGGTGTGGAGCTTCGTCCTGAAGGCCATCCAAATCGTTCCTCTTCGCTGCAGAACCTCGCAAATTCCTTGTACGCTCGGATAGAGAAACAATGGAACTCGAAGGATTTTGAAGAATGCATGTTATCACTAGAGCTCGCCGCTACGCATAGCTTCTCCGGTCTGTTGCCGCGCCTAAGTGCTGCGTGTCGATGGGCAGAGCTTGCACGATTGCACGACCATGATACCATTCCCGCAGCTTACAATGCAACAGTGCCAATTCTGCACCGCGCTCTCACGATGAGTCCAACTCTCTATACGCAACATGACTTCCTTCTACAGAATAAGTTTTACAGAACGTACATCCTGGAGGCTGCTTCCTACGCGGTAGAGAAAAATCGGTTGGAGCAGGCGATAGAGATGCTTGAGCAAGGAAGGGGCTTTCTCTGGTCACAGCTACGCAGTTTTAGGACTCCTCTAGATCAACTTGCAGAAACGAACCAAGAGCTCGCCGACGGATTCATCGATGTCAGTCGACGGCTGGAGAACCTCACAACGTCGCGTGAAGAGTTAATGTCTTCTTTGACTATGGATGGTACTGGATCGCTTGGTCGGGTCGTCCAATCTGAGCATAAATCGTTCGACGAGTTGCTCAAGTTGAAGAGACTCATTTCCAGTGAGCAGGAGGAGATTATAAGCGACATACGTCGAGTTCCAGGGTTCGAGAGCTTCCTTGATGCCACACCATTCGAGAAACTACAGCGAGTAGCTTCCGATGGACCGGTTATCGTGGTCAATCACTGCAAATATCGTTCCGATGCCCTTATCGTCCTCTCTCGTGATGATTTATCAGTCGCCTGTGTCCCGTTAGACAATCTGTTCTATAGAGATAGTACCATGCTGTGCCAAGAGCTCGTGGAGACGCGCCGTCGGTTCAGCGCTGGTTCGCAGGAATATAACAAGAAGCTCGAGGAAGCGATGAAGATGGTATGGGACAGAGTTGTCTCTAAGGTAGTTGATAAACTCACGCAAGTTGGAGTCGCAAAAGGCTCTCGCATATGGTGGTGCCCTACGTCCGTGTTGTCCGTACTTCCATTCCACGCAGCTGGGCCGTTCGAGGATGTGGACGGGACCATGAAATACCTATTAGACGATTATGTCTCGTCGTATACTCCATCACTGGGTGCTCTCATCAACGCTCGAGCTAATGGTGGCATTAACGAGCCGAAGTTACTTGTCATCGGAGATACGGCTACGCTCCACTCCACAAGACAAGAAATCCGAAACATTCGAAACTATATGAGCAGCTACGAAACAAGTCCTATAATACTCCTCGATCACAGAGCGTCTCGGCGCACAGTAATGAAAATGCTCAAGACGGTTACATGGGTTCACTTCGCCTGCCATGGTCACTTGGGCACAAAGCCTTTCGACTCGTCATTCAAGCTTGTCGACCGCGGATTGACGTTGCTAGATATCATCCAAGCCAACGTTCCGAATGCAGAGTTCGCGTTTTTATCTGCCTGCCATACCGCCGAACTGTCTCATTCTGGTGCACATGATGAAGCACTCCACCTCTCAGCGGCTATGCAGTTCAGTGGGTTCCGAAGTGTGATTGGGACAATGTGGGAGCTATACGATGAGGATGGCCCTCTCTTTGCTCGGGTTGTTTATGGATACATGAATGAATGTGAGGATGGTGAAGCAAGGTATAAGAGGGCAGCTACAGGACTTCGGAAAGCGGCTTTGGAGCTGAGAGCGCAGGATGGGGTGCCGACTGAACGATGGGTTAATTTTGTGCATATAGGTGCTTGAATAAGCCCTACAGTATGTATGTGTGTTACAATAGTTCTGTAATAAATATGAAAAATGTGAATTCTATGCCAATCACATTGACTAGCGTATGAAGATAGTACAAGATTAAATTAGGTAGCTAATCTGAATGAAAATGGAAACTGTCACTAAAACAAGGCATGCTGCATATATTCATCAATATCTCAATAATTCTACTGGATTGTTTTGTTTTATCTAATTTCCATAGTGTATCCCATTAAGGTTTTGGACATTCACTCTATAATCATGTACACATGACTTTTCCTAGCCTATTCATCCAACAGCACTGGGTCAACCCTTTCTAAACTATGAAGCACAGAAACAGTGCATATAGGTGCTTGAATAATATTAAAAAATACAACCTATAATAAATAAATACAAATACTAAAAAGAGTGAATTAGATGCTGAGTACATTGAATTTAAATTAGGTAGCTAGTCTGAATGAGAATGGAAAGTATATCCAAAACAAAACAAGCAATGCTGCATATACCCATCAATATCTCTCAATGACTCTACTGGATTGTCTTATCTAATATCTATAGTGTATCCTGGCAAGGTTTTGGATATTCACGCCTACACTCATACACACAGAACAGGATTCAGCCCTCCCTATTTGCCCAGCAACCCTGGATCAACCTTGCTAAAGCATAGAGTACAGAAGTGGACATGTCCAGACCTAAAAAATTGCACTGTCAAAGACCTAGTAGACAGAAGGTAATCGTTTCTGCAAAGAAATAAAACACAAGATAAAGTGAGAAAAATAAATTGATATTGCTAAAGATCTACTGATACAATGTCGCTTCTCTTGTTTACGTCGGCGGGTATTTTACGAAAAGAGCAATGAGAAAAAGAAGGGGGAAAAAGTAGATAAAATCTGAGACCACTAAGATAAAAAGCTAAATTGACGTAGAGAGATGATTAGATAAAGAGAAATTCCGTTTTGCTTTGTTTAACTCATTAACCCATGATGGCGTCCTCGAACCCTTCAATTCCTTCGAGCACGGCGAGTGCGTCTTTTGCCTTCGCTTCTCGTTTTATGCGGTTCATCTCTCGAGACCAAATCTTGCGGATTTCTTCTTCAAGAGGATCGGATTCGTCGGAAACGACGGTATCGATGCCTAGTCCTCGCACGACTTCGCCTTCACGGATGTGGGCCTGTAGAGCGATGTTTTGCACTCCGCCTGTGCTGCTTGACTTCGCAGAGCCAGTAAATGACGAGGAACGCTTAAAGGAACGCGCTGACGGGCTGGTGAGCGTGATAAGACCCAAGGTCTCCAACATGCCGAGTATATCCGTGAATTCAGAGCGAGATATGGAGGTGAAGGTGTCTGCGGTGGCGAGTAACGTTGCGTAATAGGAGTATAGTTGTGCACTATCGGGGCCAGATGAGATAGACGAAGGGTCGCTGGCAGTGGATGCGACAGAGACGCCAGAACCAGTTCGTTTTAAGGGCGAGCGTGGACGCTTTGTCGGAGAAGGAAGAGTCTTGATGGTAGGGGAGGATGAAGCAGAGGAAAGAGGAAGTGTGGCTGCAGATCGCTTCGACGCGAGTACGAGCGCCAACAGAACGAGTCGCTGCTGTAGTCCGAGGTCGCGGACCTTAGATATAATCTCATTGTTGCTAGACGCGCCCGTGCTAGTTGCAGTGGGCTTCATTTTCGAAGCGGAGGGTGCATACGACTTGAGAGCGGAGAGGATGTGCGCAGGTGAGACGGTAATTTTTGAAGCATATTCTGATGAAGGGCTGGTAGGTGTAGACGCAGCATCCGGAGGAGACGTAGACGAGGAAGAAGCTGCGTTGTCAATAGCTCCTCTTAGGACTTCGAAAAGCACGCGAACATCGCCCGTCAAGGCAGAAACCTTCTTCGTAAGTAATGTAAGTGCCGGAGTAGGTAGGAGTTTCTTCAGTTCGTCCTGCGGGAGGTTTTCGAAACGCTTGTTCAGGATCGCAAGAAGTTCTGAAGAATTGTATGGAGCGAAATGGATCGTCCTGATTTTTGCACCCTTTGCACGCGAACCTGAAGGCGTGACTGGTTCGCTATCTGAAGCTGAAGAAGTGGAGGTGAGAGTATGCGTGTTTGCGATACCAACGATACGAATTGTCGAAGGGTAGGAGGCCGCGAGAGCGAAAAGGGGCTGCAAGCCATTTGAAGAACTAGCTGCTAGGTTGTCCAGCTCATCGAGAACCAGTATACTAGACAACAGTTAGAACAAGACAATCGGATAGTATGCAAGATCTTACCACTTAAGACCGCGCTGCTTTTCAAGGATAGCGCACACCTTCTCTTTCCCTTGTAGCTTCTTTCCGGCGCCTCCTCGTCCAGCCTTACCCTTGACAGTCGCACCCTCAAATTCATCCGCTAGCTTCTGCCAGAGTGCGTCCATGCCTGGGATGGCCATACAATTCATGAAGAGTAGTTTGACATCGTCGGCAACCTTCGCCGAAGAGATGATTGAATTGACGAGAGCAGTCTTGCCAGTGCCGGGCGCGCCGGAGATATATAAAACAGACTCCGAGACGTCCGAGTCGGCGTCGAGGCTGTGAAGGAAGGATTCGATAATAGAACGTTCGGTCTCACGGCCCTCCAAACTCATGCCACGATTAGCGTTTGACGTTGCGCGCAATAGCCCCCGAACGCGGAGGTAGAGTGGAATAGAAGAGGGTGGTGTCGGAGGTGGAGAAGCGATGGGCAAGTTATTGAGACCAGTGGAAGGTGTCTGAGAACCTGCAGTGTATGTAGCGCTTCTGCGAAGGCCTGGAAACAGATGCATCAGTGACTGATAAGATTGAAATTAAAAGTGGCCGATGATGGATTCAGCCACCGTCGGCGCTTCTGACAACCACGAAGTACGAAAAAAATAAAAGAAGACTCACTATTTCTTGATCGCGTAGACGCAGTAGAGATGTTAGAGCTAAAGCTGGATCTCCGACTTAGGCGAGAAGCAGAGGGGGAGTCCAGCATAAGATCACGTAAAGGTGGTATGTTTTCCTTGTTCGCCCTCGCGTCGTCGTCTTCAACGACCAACGTACGAACTCTTTTTAACTTGGGCGTAGACTCAGGAGTAATCATCGATACAGATTTATTAGATACAACCGAAGACGAGCGGGAAAGCGAAGTACGCTTGCCCAGCACAGTCGTGGCTGTCTGTGAGCGCGTCAAACGACGCGAAGGAGTGGATGGGGGAGTAGCCATGATGGTAGCAGAGGGTGTTGTCGTCCTAATCCGCGATGCAGAAGACAATGTAAATGAAGAGGCTGTCGCGGGAGAGGACGACAGATGGATGTGGTGAGTGGTGGAAGGAAAACAAGGCAGCCTGACGGAATTTATGGGCCATGATGCGTGCGAAACAGAACAAGAAACACGTAAAATTACGTAGCTCATTTATTACGCGTCGCGACGCGTCGATGTCACGCACGTGAACCCGTTTTGCCTTCTTCGTCTCCCCTTCTCCCATTTTACAGCCGTTTGCAAATAGCCCATCTCAATTCTGTTGCGAGTTGCAAGTTGCGAGGAAGCTCGGCTTTGTAGAGGACCCTAGTAAGGTTGATGCCGAGTTTCCTCACAACTAGGAAGAATTGAGATGATTGACTTGTGAATTTTGTGTCGATCAGATTTCTTGTGATTTGAGTGGACAAACAAGTAAGGGATACAAGAAACATCATTTAATTTCAAAGTCCGACAACTCACAAGCACTCCAGAGTGCTTGCGAGTTGTTGCGCGTTTGACTACTACTTTAGGCAAGCACGCAACCCGATCCCCATCTTAACCACCCGATTTTCATCTCGGCACTTCGGCATTTTTGGCATATTTCTTACATGCCATGCACAACTCACAACTCGCAAGAGAATTGAGATGGGCTAATATAATGAGACTTTCTGATTTTGAGCGAAGTGAAGAAAAGTAAGAAATCACATGATTTTTTGAACTTAGCGAGGAAAATAGCAAGCACAAGCGAGACAGAGTGAATGAGACGCGTTGTGCCAGCGTCTGTACATACAGTCTACCTCCTGCTACCTGTCCCTAACTTTTCAACCTGTCTATTACTATTCTATTGTGCTATAATGTCTTACTTCTATCAAAGTTGCTTCTCCTCTGCTGCTATTGTGCTGAGCAGTTGTTGGGCGAATGACATTGCCTGTTTCTTCCCAGAGTTTGCAAATGCGAAAAAAAGTAGCCTGAGAGAATCTCACACAGTTTAGAATGTCGTCCAAGCTTAGAATTATTGAGGTCATACAGTCTTAGACAGCAGATTTTGAGGTCTCTACTGATGCAGCAGTTACCCATGATTGTAGCAGCTCAAAATATATGCATAGACACTGGCACAATGCGTCTCATTCACTATCTTGTGCCTACGAATTTCCTCTAAGTCTAAAAAATCATGTGATTTCTTACATTACATCACGTCGCTCAAAATCGAAAAGTCTCATTATTTATGCAAACGGGTGTAATCACCTAAAAGTATTCATAGATAATTTAATTCCATTTGTTCATGTATACTTTGTGTAACATGCATATGATTTTGATTGCACGTTGGGAGACTATGCAGAGTTCTGGAAGATGCATTGACAGTCGCGTCTTTTCCGCACCCGGACCCTGAGTTCCACGGCCCTAATTTGGTTAGCTTGAATTGGCCACTCACAATTCGACTTGAATTTCACTAAGTCAAAATAAAGTCCTTCTAATGAAAATACATGTTCCCCTCCCTAATCCTAACCAAATCCCAACGTAATACCTAAACCTAACAACCCAGCTTAGCCAAAACCTAATTGGGGGGGCAGAGCCCCCCAAACCCCCCTCCTAACTTCTTAGTCTGAGAACTGCCACACAGATATTAAGTAAGTGGCCATTCAGGGTCATCCCTAAATGGGCCGTGGGATTCAGGGTCCGGGTGCGGAAAATCAAAGGTCTGCATCGACGCGTCTTGTCACTTGTACCAAAGGAGTTACGGGGATGGACCCGCTGATATCTGCGGCCAACACCGCTGTCCGCTGTTCCGAGCGACTCGCATCTTCGCCAACTCTTAGTGCTCCCATGCAAGCATACTTTTTAATATGATTTTATGATGTATTCTGATCATCAAATTCGTGTGGTACCAGAATCTAACTCGCTTTTGTTGCCGTTGAATTGCGATAATTCCACAGAAGACTCGCAGTGTATGCTATCGATGTACCTCAATCCATTTCTACTTTGATACTTCACATCTTCACAACAGCAATGCATGGCGCCATCCTCACAGAATCACAGGATATTTGTCCACAAGAGAATCGCGTACTGGATAGATCTATATACGGTATACCGATTCACATCCTCCTGACTGAGAAATATCACCGCACGTCGGAGAAACAAAAAGTCGTATCTGAATCCGTCCAACTCCGCTGATTGTGCACCGTCATGGGTATTACGAATTATCACACAAGGTCAAGAAACAGAGGATAAAAGTACACATAGAGCATCGGTCCCAAAACAGTGATCTAAAGCAGCAAGAACGTCTAGTTACGCCAAAGTCGAAAAGCATACTCTTGGGATAGCGTCATAAAAGCATTCACTCATTCGGGAAGAAACCATCCCAGATATTCCCTACTTCTCGATTCGCCCTAGCATCGGGCCCCGGGCCCCCCTCCTTCCCATTGCTGTCCACCAACCTTGCCACCTTATGCACAATGTCCTTTACAAAGAATATCTTGACTGGGCGCTTCTTGACCTGCTGTCTGCATGATGGGCACGTATATGCTGGCTGCGGTACGTCTCTCTTCCACCTTGCATGCTCAGTTCGGATGGCTTCAGCAATTGCAGGCACGTGTTCGTTGAGGAGATATTGAAGAGGAATTTGTGGACCCTCAAGAAATTGAGGGTGTACTTCGACGTGGCGCGCGTAAGTCGTGTCGAACCACTCGTGCAAACAAGATTCGCAGAACGTATGTCCGCAGTCCGTAAGCGTCGCTGGAGTCCACATCCTGTTTGAGCAGACATCACAGGAGATGGCATCATCTAATTCAGTATAATCCTGATAAAATCATGAGTATTCACCTATGTAAGAAAAGTGAGAATAATAAACCTACAGGGGCAGGTGATTCCACTTTTCGCTTCAAAGCGTTCTCCAGTTCATCCACGCGTCGAAGGGCCTCTTCTTTCTCGGCTTCTACACTGGAAACGGGGACGCCATGCTTCTCCAAGTACTTTTCGTTGAATTCCTTCAAGATTTGGCATTCCTGCGGGCGAAAAAGAAAGTACAACATGCCTTCTTAATATAACAGGTACAGCGATCAGACAGTAAGGACGCACCCTCTTCAATTTTTCGTTTTCTACCCTCAAGCGTGTCAGAGCCTCCGATTCCAGATGCTTGTCCTTACCCTTATGAACCTTATCTGCATGCGGCTTTGCAATAGGAGCACCCGTGCGTTTCCTAGGGATTTGAGGCTTGGTGTCTTCGTCGTCCGATGAGATTTCGATGACTGACGCCTCTGAAGTAGTTTTTGTTATCACAGTCGAGTTTCTTGATCCTGATGGTGTCCTCCCGACAGTAGTGAGCTTTGCCTGGCGATTGGCGTCTCGTTTGCGCAACACAGGAGGCTTCGTGCTCGAGGTAGTTTTGCTCGGACCGGCAGTAGCGCGGAATGAAGACATGTTATCGTAGGTCTAAAGTAAGAGCTAATGCTGCTAAGAATGTCGTTATCGGTCAAGACGTAGTTTATGAAGCTTGAAAACGGAAGAAGAAAGAAGAAGGGTTGCGTAGAGATACGTGGCCAGAGCAGCGAAGGGAGGATGGTGGACGCACTCAAAAGTGAAACTTGAACCGACGATCATCACCTGCCAAAACAGTGTCACGTGCATTTCGGGGGTTGATCATCGTTGATCGGCAGATGCAGCGCCGAGAAATTGCTATTTTCAGGTCACATATTATTGGCAAAGACTCAGACTCTCGGAGGCTTGTGCAATTTCGATGGAAGTATCATCATGATTTGCATTATGATATATGCCCAGTTTCATTACAAGCTATAATTGGTCAACAGCATTCAGTATTACCATTCATATTTATTCTTTGGTTAATTCAAGGTTGTTTCCAAAAGAGTAATTACCTTTTCAATCATGCCCCTGCTTTAACACACAATTGATTTTTTGGGTGTTTTCTAATAACGGTAATCCCTTCAGTGAAACCCTCGAGCTAATGAACACTAAGTAATGCATGTTATATTTCTCTAACGGACACTCCATGAAAGATTTTCATTGTTTGTGATTATTTGACCCAAAATCCCACGCTTTGTTTACGTTTGAACTTTGAATTGCACTTCTAACAGAACCTCGACTTCTGAAAATATGCCACCCGCCGCAGTTCACAAGATACATGGATCCGGCCATGCCTACACAGCACTGTACAGGTTTATGAGCGTCTCGGGAGACAACGAGGTGCTTCAAAGGCTTCTTCGGTCCTGGATTACTACCAATGGTTAACATTTACCACACGTGTTGATCCATGAAGGACCGCTCCAACACTTCACGACTGATGTGCACTGCCTGCTTATTTCCAGACGACGGAAATGCTCTCTCAGGACAACATTTGTCTCGTTCAACAAGCAAGGTCTTTCGGTGTTACTCGATTGAACAATGGTTCGTTCTATAAAGCAAGAAGAACAAGGTTACCGTTTGGAGACACTTTAATTCCTCGTGGCAACGGAAGCTGTATTTAGTGTTGACTAGCGTCAATCTTGTACATCTGTGATCGATTTCCCTTTGTCTTCCTATCAGGGCTCATGTGCTAGTGTATAGCCATCTTCTTCGCTACCCATAACTATGACAGCGGTGATCTACATCCACTATGACCTACAACCTCCTCCAGTGCCCTACAAGTGACCCTCTCCCGTCTGGAACTGGCAGAGACTTAGCTTCTTCCTCAAACGTACTACCCAACTCTCGAAAATGGTGGATTCACACGCAGACCAAGACAACACGGAACGACACGAGCTCATCCCCGGGCCTTCAGCTGAGGCAACTGCCGATCTTTCAGCTGCAACTACCCCGACCGAAATTGTCCCAACCTCTGCAGTCGCAGCAACACCCTCTTCATTATTTGGCTCTGTGCGCGAGTACGCGTCCAGTCGGGTTCATAGAGCCCTTGAGTACAGACCCTCTGATCCACTGGATACTGCAGCGCAAGCTGCAAAAATCGTCTCCGCGGTGGTGAAGCCCGTACCGTGGCTGGGTCCAGCTGTGGAGCTTGTAGAATCCATCGTGAGGCTTTGCGAAAATGTCGGGAAAAACAGGTCATGACAGGTCCCGATCGATAATTACCGTTAACTGAATATTTTTATAGGCGTGCGGCGACTGAATTGGGTAAGCATTGTATGACAATGCTAGATGCTGTCAAAGAGGTATTGCCCACCGTAAACGACGACGTCGTGTATGCAATGGGGTCAGACCTTGAAATGTCTGTGCCAATATTTCTATTTCTCTGTCAAGACTTAATAGCATGGATTCTAGCCTGCTTGTCAAAATTGATGGCAAGCTGAAGAAATGGAACAGTATGCATTTCCTCAAGTCGCTTGCTAAGCAGGCAAAAGTATCGGATGACATCAAATCCTTTGATGCTGAGATTCGACAGTTTTGCACTTGCTACTCTGTTAGCTACTTCATGAACATTTCTCTCAGTGCTTGTATCAAACTAATACCTTTGACAGCTTGTTGCACAGACGAAGATGTTAGCATGGATCGAGCTCCTCGAACAAGAACGTGAAGCTGATAAGCAAGAATTGAAGGACTTTTTTATCGACGCACAGAATGCAACCATGTTGGAGCTCATGTGTCAGAGACAACAAATCGCTGGCCTCCAAGATACTCTTGCAACGGTCCTTCATATCATGCAAGATGTTAGTAAATACTTCTATATAGTGACTCCCATGTGCTTACGTCCACCAAATGCAGCTTCTTTTCCGATCCGACACTCCTACACATCACTGCAAGGCACTAGAGGTTAACATCTCTGCTATTTGTCGAGCCTCTGGTGAAGTACCGCCAGATGTTGAGCTTACTGAAGGCATGATATGGAAACCAAGAGATCCGATATGTGGTTCTGGCGCTTTTGACATTTATCGTGGGTATTGCTTTCGCGATCAAACGCGTGAATGCGCCATAAAAATATACAGAAACCTTGCATACGGCGAGGATGCAAAAAGGGCAAGTGATTGAAATTCTGCTACTGTGAATAGAAATACTTAAGGTTGAATTGCAGCGCTTCATGAGACAGTTGCGTCATTGGAGAACAGTATTCAATGAGGATAAGGGCAAGCATATCTTGCCGTTGATTGGTGCCATCCTTCGTGTCCAACCAGATCCTTTGCTGTAAGTTTTCACGTGTGTACGGCTTCAATTGACGATCTAATTATGTATGCACAAGGTGTTTCGTGAGCCCATGGATGGAGAAGGGAAATGCGCTCCAGTATGTCAAACTCTATGAACACGTCAATAGAATCAACCTTGTGGGTATTGTTCACCATCCATATTTTATTATCTGTTTACACTAGTTATTCTATAGATTAAACAAATTGCAGAGGGGTTGAAGGTCTTACATTCGCATCAACTGCTTCATGGATATCTAAAAGCTGTAAGTGATAGTCATTCATTGTGTAATAAATTAACATGCTTTACTCTTTTATCAGTCGAACATTCTCATCAATGCTTTCGGCAACCCACTCCTGGCCGACTTCGGGCTTCTAAGAGTGAGGAGTACCTCTGTGTTTTGTATACGTTTAAAACCTAAGCAGCATGATATATTTTAAACAGATGATCGAGATAGAGCCAATAACAATTAACTCTTTTCCTGGCGCCGGAGAAGCTTCTCGCTGGCTTCCTCTCGAAATGCTTGTCGATGGAAATTCGCCTCAGTCACTGAAATGCGACGTTCACATGTTTGCTATGACAGTAATAGAGGTCAGTCCATTTTTCCTGTAGACCAGCTCTCAAACTCACATTATTGAATGTAGCTTATGACACATGAGAAACCATTCGCACACATTAAACGCGACCCACAGATAATATTTGAGCTTTGGGATGGTAGGCACCCTGAGAGACCGGAGGGCGAGTTTGGGAGGAAAGTGGTGGAGCGAGGCTTGAGTGATCAGTTGTGGAATTTACTTGTTCGCTGTTGGTCAGAGAAACCAGATGACCGGCCGTCGATTTGTGAGGTTCTTGCAGAGCTTGAGAGCCTACCTCCGCCCACTTGATCTCCGTCCCACAATCTCCTCTTCTCGCTTTTTCTTCACTGTCGACCAATAATGGAAAGCGCAAATTCCAACATCTCATGTCCATATGATGTAATATATTTCCAAGGAATTGCTTTCGTTGTTTAGAAAGGTGAATCGTATATCTCTGTTAGAATACAATGAGGTAGTGTGATCGTGGGAATGATGTGCACGCGGAGACGAATAAAGCAGTGCCGTTGATTGTAAATAGAAATACTTCTTGCCTTCTGCCAATTTGGCGCATCTTTTCCCTAGCATTTCTCGTTATTCAAGCAAAGCACCGCTCGACGGCTCCGATGCTTGCAAGTGAAGCGGAGCGTCGACGCGCATTGAGGACATTCTTATCAGTCCTTGCAATAGTTACTTCGGCAAGGTCGATTCAAGCTCTGTTCTTGCGATCGCGGTAAGTACAAATATTTCTGATACGTGCGTATACTCAGTACTACTCTAGGAAGAAAGATGAAGAAAAGGAAAGAACTATCCTTGATAAAACAGCAGTACAAATTGCTCTGTTTCCTACTTTAATCCCGAGACTCTACCCCTATTTTCGCCGGCAGTTAGGAACCTCAGGACTTGCGGAACTCATTTCTTCTGCATTTCTTCTGCTTATCCCTCCTTCTTGGAGAGTCCAAGCTGCGCTCTATGCAACATCTTCTGCTCTATATCATTCTGGTAAAACATCAAGATTGAGGCAATGGCTGCCCCCGACTTGGACTTTGAATATTATTGGAAATGCAATCCTGCTGTGGGCATTCTTATTCAAGAGCGAAGCATTTCCGTCTGTATACGAAAGAGTTATACTATCGGTAAGTATTGTTCTCGGTTAAGTATACGAGAGTTCATGGATGTTCTTAGAACTCGACACATTACGTACCACCAGAAATGACGAGAACAGAACTTGAAGAGCTACTCCGTAATGCTACGTTCTCCAGGCAATCGGCGTCTACAACACCTACTTCCAGTACTCAACCACAATCAAAGCACGCATATACACTGTGTGCAGAACTCCATCCATCGGAGCCAAGTTGTCTTAAGAACTACATCAAAGCAAGCCTTGACGAGTCGAGCAGGACGTGGAGGTGGGTAGGGGCCTTCAGTGTGCTTCCGATCCTGCTGTCAAAGAAGAATAAAGAAATGCTGGCAAGGTCAGTCAGTTTGACAGAGATAACACCTTGTTTGACGTGCGTTATTGACGTGACGTTTGGTTTCAATCTTTCTGGAAGGGATCCGATGAGGGTTTTATGGAAATGGTTGACTGCGACAGTGCGGGGTACCGCATTCGTCACCGGAAGGTAACTGAAACCTCGCGGTCGTCATCACTGAATAAATGATCTCAGGGAATCACAGCATTACAACAGCTTGGGCGACGACGTGCCTCTTACAACGCATGCTGCCGAGACACAAACTCAAACAAGCAAGGTAGCGTAAACGATTTGATTTTCACTGCCATCGAACCACTGGCTCACTGCGTGTACAGATGGATGATAAACGCTTCCATTTCCTCACTCTGGATCTTGATTCTCCCGTCTAAGAGACGCAACGAGATCGCACTCTATGTCGCTCGTCTCGCGGCACTTTGTGCCTGGAGAATCTGGAGATTGGAAGGAGGTCCAGCTATTCCGTAAGTCTTTCCTTCTTCCTGTTGCATTTTTAATTGAAGAAAGTTGCAAATTTTACCAGCTTCGGAGATATCGCGTTGTTTGCATGCTCTTGGATGCAACTCTCCAGGTTGCAACGACGAGGAGAGAAGATAACAGGTCTCGTCGGATTAGGATTATCAATGGTACAGCCAAAAACATAAGAAGGCATTTGCAAGTACCCAGTCATTGCTATTTTATGGCCCGGTTAATTAGATGTGAATCGACTGACTTGCCAGCAAGTTTTGATCAATCGGTCCTGCGTAAAACTCACCTCTGTCGCTCAAACTTGAGTAGTGTCGAATGTCATGATGGGGACGGGTTGCTCACACTCTTCCGAAAAAGTTGTTTCCAAGATTATACTGGTATATATTCCAAATAAATCCAAAACTACGCCAAAGAGCCCTGCAAATAGGAAGTTCACATTTATCTGTCAAATAACCAAGGATAAATAGAAGTGGACTTACCATTGGATCCCAAGGTGGCAGCACAATTTTCTCTCCACTCTCAAACACCTTGACAAGCTCACTTGGTGCTAAAGCCTTTGGAACTACAATCTGGTATACAAACTCGTCGAACCACGCGTCTGTCATCACGAAATAGCCCTTCTCTCCTCTACCATCGCCCCATGAGTTCTCAACTTTATACCTTGTCGCTTTACCCGTAGACGGATCAATATGTGCACCTGTGATGACCATAGCGTGTGTCATAGCCGATTCGTTCATCTGCAATCGCTCAGCTTTCGTAAGATTTAACGAGATTCCAAAGGCATTCTGGAGGGCAGATTTGTGTAAAGCCGTATCCATGATCCCGGGTTTGCTATCGGAGAACTGGTTAACATCGCATCCGAAGAAGACAGGCTGTCCGGCTTTGAGCATCTTCACAATTGTGGACTTCAGATCGCCGATTTCGGTGTTGACATCTGGTTGCAATCAGATACTGTACAATTACACATGGCAATGATGCTTACAGAGAACTTGCCGACCGCCCACAATGTTTCCCAGCCTATCAACCGTGTAGAGCTTCTTGTACTCATTGCGCGGGTCATTGATAAGTGAGAAGGACTCGGACGGCTAGATACGCATGCTGAATTAGAACGGATACCTAAAAAGATTGAAGGGAACCATACCGGGTACTGCTTCGAAGCAAATGCCTTATAAAATTCGAGCGGAGTTCCCGACCATGTCTTCGGCTTTCCGTCCTTATCATAATAATCCCATGTAAATCTATTATTGGGCATAGGAGGGACACCGAGAAGCGCGGTCATAATGCTCCAGACCTCTGCCATGAGGTCTTCCTTCTTCGCCCGGACCGTCTTCAGCAGTACATCCTGGGCTGTGGTCTCCCGAAGAGATGCGAAGAGACGACGTAGGACTAGAGCGTGCTCGCGTAGCTTGAGCTTTAGGAGTTTGTTCATATTACCAGACGCTGAAGACGAGTATGATTCGGGGCATATAGGTTGAGGGACTACACCGTATGTCTACATTGCTGTAAGCATTTGACGAAAAAAAATGTAAACATCCATTGATTACTCACCTCAAGGAGATTGACTGCCATGTCCCATTGACCACCATCCGAGATGAGGTCATCCGATAAGAAATCGACCACTCGATCATCCAGTGGAAGATCCGCCGTGTCAATAGATTGTTCCAGGTAGAAATTACATTTATTGAGTTTATCCCAAAAGTAAAGATATGACTGGACAAACCACGTTAGCAACTCTTATTGCGGTCGAGATAGAACACAAAATCCTTACCTGAGACAGTTGAAATTCCTTCAACCCGAGCTTCTGCATAACTGAATGCCGAATTACGTTTGTTGTTGCGAATAGCCAACATCTCCCACTTGACTTCTGGTCAGTGATCGGGTCCGTCTTAAAGTCGAGCTGCAGATTGAAGACGTGCGGATCTGCAACGCGAACATCACGTGAAGCAAGCGCGGACTTGAAGTCCGTATCGACAAGAATGGTGCGCGCAAGTTGGACCTTGAGGTCCTTCTCGGCTTCGCCCTCCCATTGCTTGACGTTCTTGAGGGAGATAGAACCGTCTTCCGAGATAGGTTCGGTAGACTTGATCGTGACCTCGAAATGACTAAGCTTTTCGTCCAAAGACCCGACTTGCGACGTCCTGGAACGCCCTACGGTCGACTGTGAGGAGCCCATGATAGCGAACAGGAGACAAGCAGGATACACTCACGCTCGTAATGTCCAACGCGCTTTTTATGGGAATTCGTCAAAATAAGAGCCAGATGAAGCGTGTGGCAGTGAATGATAAGCCGAAATAGGCGACCTCTGATTGGTTGACACTCCCTGACGCATCAGCATGATTAATCATATTGATCCTACTGTGTTTCACCGGTTCGCGCTCAGTTACCAGTTAACGCTCAGTTGTACAATACCTCCCTCAATTCTTAGTAAATTTTCTTGAAATTTTACATACAGGTAGCCTACAGTAAATATAACTTAAATACGAAATTTGAGCAAAAAAAAATGAGTTGAAGCTGAGATATTGGTGTTGGAATGTTAGAATTTTGATGATCAGCACTGATTTAGTGAACAGAAACTTTTCCCACACACAACACACTTAATATTAATTTAAGGAGACATTATTTGTAGCTGAAATTTTGAGAATAAGTACTATATTATATGTAGTTACTATATATTTTTTTATATAATTAATAGTTAAGTATTAAGTTACTTATTAAGAATACGATTTTAAGTCTAATTTTACTACTTTCTATAATTCAGAGTTTATAGTTATAACTTACGAATTTTTTATTACAATAATTACTATTATAACTATATATAAAAATTTGGTACTAGTATTCTTGATATATTTACTATAATATTCTATAATTTTAAGAGAAAATATTAAGAATTAAAATTATTATAATTAAATCAAAACTATATATATAAAAAGTACTATAATCTACTATATTACTTATTAGTACAGTTTTTATAGTTAAAAAAAATTGTAAAGCATACGTATGTTAAAGGTTATATGTTTCAGTATTAAGCGATCACTATAGAGAAGAGGAGGGAGAGGGAGGAGAGAGGAGGGAGAGGGAAAGGGAGAAGGAAGAGAAA